TTCCTGCTAAAGATGTATTTCTAGAAGTCATATACAGTTAGAATTGTGGGTTAAAAGGTGTATATGTGTATGTGTGTATATATATATGCACACTCCAAATCCCAGAAGATTTCAGTGCTTTTAGAAGTTCTTTTCAGAATCAGGTTTGCAACAGTAAGCTTTTTTCTAAAAGTCACTGTATGCTTTCTGAATTTAACAGCACATCAATGTTTTATGGCAAATTTTAATCCCCGCTGGAAGCGGAGTATGTGTAAAAGGCTTTAAGAAAAAAAAAAAAAAAGAAAGAAAAAAAAAAGTCAGGCACTTGGTTAGAGCTTGTCAAAAGCTTATCTGAACCTGTAAATCCTTTGAGATTTCCCTTTCAGCATAGGTTTTAACTCTATCTCAGTGTCAGTACAAGTTTTCAATGCAGGTACCAGGAAAATATAAAGTATTTGAACTTAAAGGCCAATATCTAATCAATAACTTCCTGTAAGATTCTTCCATTCCACTATGCCATTAGATTTTTTGAGTGCTGAAGGCATGAAATGCTCAGTCTGACAACCAATGCAGCTAGTAATGCACCAGGTCTGATGGATCCATTGCTGTAATTCCCCACCAGCAATCCTAGTAAGAGTATTACATTAGTAAGAGTACTGTGAAGCTTCTGAAACAATCTAAGAACAATAATTATAAATTTGTAATTAACTGTAGGTATAACAGAGAGGATTTCTCCAGGGAACTGTGTGGAAAGGAAGAGTGAGAGGGAGTATCTGGCCTTGCTTGCTAAAATAAACAATCATAAGTAGGGAATAGAAGAAGAAAGCTGATTCTTAAGCCTTAAACTTGAAAGACATCCAATTTAGGAAAGAGTAAAAAGGCTTGGTAGGAATGATTAAGTGAATGAAATAATATTCCATAGGCCTCCAATCTTCAGAGAAACTGGAAATGGTACCTTAGGTGAAAAAATATTTTGTTAATATTGTTTGAGTAGATTCTCTCAATTTCTTTACATTGAAGCAAAAAAAAGACTTTTTAAAGTGTTAAATCTAGAGTACTGGGGCAGCCATTAAACTGGCTGGTAGGAGACAACTAACATGCACCAAGTCGGTTTCAGGGGGTCACAAAACATGTAAGTTGATATCTTGCTCTCACTGGTCTTGGAAATAAATTTTAATTTTTATCTATTTGATCTTTTTTATGAAAACTTTTTTTAGCCACTGATATAATTCATCAGAAGTTGTGTCAAATAGTAAGAAGCTTTATTTTCCTGTGGTAGCTTTAATTTTTTTTAAAAAAAATCATTTAAGTGGATGGAGTAGGATTAGAGAATACCAAAGCAGAATACTTAGATTACTTACCACATGAAGAATTTTATTTTCTGTTTCATACACTGTACAATCCTGCGGTAAAATAAAACAAAAACAATTAATGCACATTATAAGAAAGAAAAGAATGCTTTATGCTGATAACTCTCTCTTATAGAGGTACCTGTAAAGACAAATGATCTCTCGAGTTTTGCCATGTCCAAAAGGTTACTTTACAGTCTTAGGAAACTTGACTTCTCTTGTGGCTGGTTAACCTCAGGGACTTATTCTTCCCTTTACAGTCATGAAACTCTCATGCTCAATACTAGCAACAATAGAAATGTAAGTCAGAGGGGACAGATTCGTGATAGCAGAGAAAAAAGTAATTGAATATAATTAATCTAGCATGTCAGAAATTCAATGATGCACAGAGTAAGAGATACATTGCCTAGCCTTAAATCAGGCAGAATGTTTGTTAGCTGTTCTACAAGTTGTGTGGAGTGCAGACAGTTGTGTCAGACCTACCACTAGGTAGATTGTGTTACTATAAAGCATGGGAAGGAAAAGTAAACACAGAATATTTTGACAAGTACAATGATAAAGATGTTAAAACATGGTCTGTCCACACAGTCAGTTTGGCGCACTCCATCTTTTGACTCGAGGCCCTGATTGTCTACACTGTCCACAAGGGACAAGAAACAGCAGTGGTCCCATCTCCTGGGAGGAATCACAGAATGGTCAGGGTTGGAAGGGACCTCTGGAGATCATCCAGTCCAACCCCCCCTGCCAGAGCAGGGTCACCTACAGCAAGTTGCACAGGATGGCGTCCAGACAGGTTTTGAATGTCTCCAGTGTGGGAGATTCCACAACCTCTCTGAGCAGCCTGTTCCAGTGCTCTGCCACCCTCAAAGTAAAGAAGTTCCTTCTCATGTTAAGATGGAACTTCCTATGTTCAAGTTTGTGCCCATCACCTGTTGTATCACAGGGCACCACTGAAAAAAGACTGTTCTCATCTACCTGGCACCCTCCCTACAAGTATTTATAAGTATTAATAAGATCCCCCTCAGTCGTCTTTTTTCTAGACTAAAAAGACCCAAGTCCCTCAGTCATGTAACTGCTCTAGCTTTGGACTTTGGAAGGCACAAGTCACACCACAAAGGGACGGGAAAGGACACAGGCTTGCTCATGCTGAGCGCTGGTCCAGGGATATCGAAAGGGTTTCACTGCCTTAAGGCCTCCCACACAACCCCATCTCAGCTTTCCATTACACGACATTGCTATTAACCAATTTAAAGTAGGCCTGAAAAACAATATCCCTGATCAACCTCTTCATTTGCTTAAGACTTGTAACTTCTAGAACAGTCATTTTCCTATTTTACTTAAGTAAATCTTATCACTACATAACTGAAGAGTCCTTACTCCCGTAACTTGCATTTTGATTTAGGGATATTACAGTGGCTAGAATATGGCTTTTCCTTCATGAAACAAAGCATAAAAATTCCTTAAAGAGATCTACTGTCTCTACTGCTTTTTAATGGTTTTGAAGACTTCTTCCGTACAGTCCTCTATAAAGCAAGACACAGTCACGCAAGACAGTATTTAACCCTTTCGTACAGGAGCGGGCCCAAGCGCACCAGGGCAGCTCTGCCCCACCCTTCTCCTGCCACGCAGCACTTCGAATCACCACACAGGCTCTCAAGCTGTATTTTACTAAAGCATAAAATTAAAAGGAAAATACAGAAAACTCAAGTTTGCCAGACAGAGTGAGATTCAAATAGACTCCCCCAGAAGCTCGGTCCCCTCTGAGGCCAGCCGCAACCCCCACGGCCAGGCTCCCTCTCCCCACAGCCCCAGAACCCACCGCCACTCGCCCACGGCAGGCAGGCAGCCCACCACACGCCTGCGCGGTGAGCACCAGTCTGCAACATCTACCTGTCGCCAAAGGGGTGCTTTTCTGAAACAAAATCTGAGGAGAAAATATTTCTGAGGTTTCCAGGCATCTCCCCGTGTTCAGGGAGGCTGACACCCCGGCCCCGTGGCTGGCGGGAGTCCCAGAGCCCTGTGAGGGAAGGAAGGAAGAGGCCGCCACAAGACACGCTGAGGGCCAGGCAGGGTGGGATCCTCGCCTCACCAGGGACCTCGTTCATCACAGGAATCTCGTTTATAATGCCATACTGGCACTGATTATTTACATTTAAGTGAACTAATGGTTAATAACTAAAAAAATTATGTTGGGAAATTGCTAAATACTTCTCCAAATGCTATGTCACATTGGAAAAGCTTTCTACAATGCAAGATAAGGATTTCAGGACATATTTCTAAGGACCAGGATATGACAAGCAAAAAACCCTGACTTATTTGTCTCTTTTCCTTGAGGAAGCTTTAAAGTAAATTTAAATATTTACTGATATACCTAAAAGATCCCCTCAAGTAACTTAAGATTCCCTATAGTTCTCAAGATTTCCTCTTTCCTGGGTCTTAATATGTTAGCAATAACACTTAATTGCTTTAAACTTCCCATGAAATAATTCCAACATCCTCACTCCGTTTACTCTAGAAGTAGATTAGCTCTATGATCAGCTTAGGCTGTGACACTCTTTGCGAGAGAAGCAGCAGCGGAGTGGCAGACCGCCGCTGCTCCTGCCAGCAGCTCCCACCCCGGGCTGTGTCCCACCCCGGCGGCCGTGCCCAGCGCGCCCACCTCTTCCTTTGAGGACCCTGTCCCACAGCCCACCTGAGGCTGCGGCAGGGCAGCCTTAGCCTGCTCCGCCACTCTGCCCTGGGCACAGGTAACTGTCATGCCCTTAACTCTAAGGGCCCTGTTTATTTTGGAGGATTGGCATTTTTGTAGGTAAATTACTTTCTAAGTGAATACAGTTTAAAGACTATTGTTACAGAATAAGAGAGTTAAACTCAGAAGATTCTGAGTGTCAAGGAACACAGAGAAGAATTTATATTAGCATTTCATGGTCAAGTATCCCTTTGATGTTTCTTCTGTATTCATACTGTTATTTTCTACAGCACAAAAAAAGAATTCAATTAGTCAGTTTGGTTGGCAGTGCCCAAGGCAGTTTTTCCTACAAGTTTTGCACACTTCAAACAGCACATCCACCATCTCCTTTTAACCCTCCAAGTACCAAGAGAACAAAATGATCACAGCAGGGCTTACAGCTTGACTTCAGAGCTAATGCTCTTTTTTAAATTATTCCTTTAATTTCTGTGCTAGAAATACAATATGAGCTTCATTCTGAACAAACTTAATTACTTCAGGTCAAAAAATAGAGCACTTATGTATAGTAAAACTGAAATTTTACTGTTTTATAGAGCAGAATTAATGTTAGCTATACTTATGTTGCACAGTCAAGATTACATTAGCATAAAAAGTGTTAATGGCTTTGGGATTCCTTCCAAAATAGATGCATATTGACTTTTTTTTTTTAATACATCAGACTAGTTTAACTGAGAGGTTAAAAGCACTTGCAATATTATACTAAAATGTTAATATATGTAGGTCACAATATTCTTCTGATTTATTTTTCTCTGATACATAACAATGCACTAGAGATCTCATTAAAAAAAAAATCATCCAGGACCAACGTTTATAGAATTTTGATCTATTTTTCTTAGAAAATAAATAATATAGGGATATTCTTTCTACATCCTCCATAAGCAAGATAGATATGATAAGAATATTTTTTCTTAGAGTTTAAAAAACTCTTAAAAAATTCATAGCTGCATTCTATTTCCCCTCTGTAAAATGGTAAAATACAGGAATTACAAAAATTAGTCACAGCAGCAGTATTACATACAAGTCAGCTTCTGCCCTATCCAGAACATCCTACCTTTCAAAGGCACGCTACACCTTCACAACTGCAAAGTAAACCACCATTCTTTTGAATAGTCATAAAGAGAAAAGGTCAGTAGGACTTGTGTGCGCCCACAGTGTAGTCACTATTTCAGTCTATGATTCCAAAAGAAAGAAATGCGAGTACTACTGAAATTTGCAGATACCATAAAGAATGCTTTATGACAAGTCTTGAGGACAGTTAACTAACACTTAAAAATACGAATACATGTAACATATTTAGTTCATTCATGTAGTATAATTAAACAACATGAGTTAAGTCAAGTACTGAAAAGAAGCAGAGACCCTATAAAGGAGCAGCTCAGAACAGAACTTAAAGCCTTGTGTTGTTTGCTGGTTGAATGTTATTTCCCAATATAACACTGCAGTAAAGATTACTGCAATCTTTGAATGGTGGACATAACAAAATGATATTTAAAAGCATATTGCTTGCATACATAAAATCAAACACTTCTGGAATTTACACATTAAAAAGAACAAGATTGCTCTGAAATAAGGCAAATATACAATGGTAAATACACTAAAGTAACTTACTTTACTAGGTTTAATTAAGGTAAAGACTCAGTCGTAATCTATATTTAGAAAATAGTGAACAGATGTTTGATAACAAAATGTTCTTTAGCAAATGCAAGCAAAATAAGATTGAGGAGCTGAAAGCTGAAGTCTGCAAAGTTCAAACTGAAAATAACACCCACGTTTTTAATGGCAGTTGCTGAATCATAGAATAATTCGAGTGGAAGGGACCTCTGGAGGTTATCTAGCCCAACCACCTGCTCAGAGGAGGGCAAATTTAGAAGTTAGACTGGGTACAGGAAACTACTAAGAAACAACAACTTCTATCAATTGTAGTATGAACGAGGTAGCTTCAAAAAACGTATGCTTCACCCTGAACATAAAGTATTTGACTAAAAAGAGGGTAAAAATCTGTGACATGGTGTCTGAATTTATCTCAGTGAGGTTAATCAAACATTAATAAAGGGAAGAACAAGCAAAATTTTGTTTGTCTTTTGATGGAAAAAAATAGCGTGAGCTGTGCTGACGTTCTTTGGTAAGACACAGACAAACTTTTTGTTAAGAGAACATTTGTTCCTGCAGTTTAATGCATGGATCAAAAGTAGCTAGCACAGGATTAAACATCTTTGACATAATCCAGACAAAAAATAATAACAAAAACCAACTTTTACTAGAAGTAGTGAATTCTTTCTACTCAGTGAAAAATTAACCAATGGCTACATTTTATGAACAAAATTCCAAACCTATTCTTCCCCAGTTATTCCAGTTATCTTTCCCCCAGGGTAGCCTTGGTATGAGAGCATGACCAAATCCACATTCAGTTACATTAGTCTGGTGGGTTCATTTTCAGAGAAAAAATAAGCTAGTCTACCTTGAAGCTAGAGCTACACTTCAAAATGAAGTCAAAAGAGAGTTCAAATATTTGCAATACTCTGATCTAACATGCTTTTTTGCACATTATCATCAACACTTTTTGATGGGACATCACACCTCAAAATCAGGATGTTTCTGCAGCTTTCTGCATAATGCTATTCTTTTCTAGTTTCCCTACTTGTTTTAGGGAAGGTGAGATCATGAGTGATAAGAAAACTGAGCAGAATAAAGTAAATTACCAAGCATAAATAGACAGGTAAAAAAATTCTCTAAAACTAGAGAATAAAGATCAATGTTCTTGTAACTAGTATGAGAAGATACATTTACAAATAAACAAGTGACTGCTTATTCTTTGTAGCATTTACATGGTATGTAAATAACAATACGCAACATTGCAGTTCATCTGGTTTAAATTTTGAATGACGATCCATCTTCACACTCACACAGAGAAAGAATATGACCTAAAAGCTAAAATATCTACTTCCTTATTAGATCTAAGAGGATGTCACTCAGATATTTTATTTGCACAAAATATATCTTCAGGTTGAAGACATTCCTCACAATGTGCTGAATGCATTGCCTTGACTGCTACTTTCAGACTGACTAAATTAGATACCTAAAATTTGTACCATTCCAAAACCAAGGAGTATCTGAAAGGATCTAAGACCTAGGTTTCTATTAGTTATGCCTTTCAATTCATATTTTAGCCTACAGTTAAGACTGCAATTCTGGTTTAGGTGAGACATTTCTGCTTTCACACATTAAGATCAATTTTCCACAGATTTAGTGACAGCAAAACTGTCTCCCTATGAATTATTTTGTTTTATCTACTCTTTCTGGTGCTGTTTAATATACTGTAAAAAGATCTCAATAGATGACTACCAAACAACCGAGGTCTGACAATAACATAAGGAAAAGACAAAACTTGATTTGTAACCGACCTGAAGAACTAACTGAACATTTTTCATCTTGGAATGTCTTGAAATTTATGCTAAAATATTGATTGTTTTTAAGTTGTCAAAAGAAGTACAGCTTTGAGAGTGGAGTTGAATTGAAAAAAAAAGAAACAAACTATTGCTGGCAGAGGAGAACTGAATTTCATCTGCCAAAAGCAGTGAAATGAACGACAGAAATGGAGACAGCAATCCAAAATTATACTATTTTCACCTAGACCACAGGGAAAAATCAAATTCACACAAACAATGTGCAGTATCAGCGGAAGGGTGGAATCAGAATCCGAGACTTTTATACTGTAGAAAAGTTCGTTTTGCTTAGTCTGTAAATCAAAAATAGCCTAGTGCTATAAACACCTTGTAAGAGAAAGCTTAATAAAGACACATAATGAAATGCCTAGATAGGATTTTTTGTTTTCTTCTTGCTTCCCCTCTTACAGTACTTTCATCTTTCTCTTCTACTTCATTCCAAGACAGCCCTGCCTGTTCTCTAATCTCTCTATGTATACCAGAAACACTATTTTGCCTCATCAATATTTTCATCCACTCACAAGAGAAGCTTACTGTAAATGTTTGTAGAACTAATTTCCACTCAGTCTTCCTGTACCTATATATCACCTCTTCTCTTACTTCAGGGGCAGACAATGTCACAGACTCTTATTATTTGTATACTATGGAGCACTACGGAACCAGACAAATTAAAGTTATGTACCTGTGGATTGTACTACATTACAATTAAGTAATGAATGTCAGTGGTGATAATACTGCTACCCTTAATCGTTCCATATTTTGTTTTGTTTAGTTATTAACATGAAATATTCATAACATAAAACACTTTCATGTAACTGGCTCTCTTTTAAGTGAAGAAGCCACAGTACATGTTCTGGGTATATCTGTATGCATTCTAAGAACTTGTCCCTGAAAGATTTTTGATCATTTGTATCTTAATCTGTAATAAACTGTTAGCAGTAGTTAAGCTGTTGCTCACTGTGGCTTTGTTCTTTTGTTTAACACTTGCACAGTGGTAGATAACCTAACATGAAATTGTCTACTCAAAAGACAAATGGATTATTTTTAACTTCACGCTATTCCTCAATCTATCCAGGCACATTTGGATAACCCAAGTCCAAAAAACTTCCTGTCACTCCCAGCAAAAGAGAATATGCTAAGAACAGAGAGATAATGATACAACAATTTTTCTGGTGAAGCAAAAGTTTAGCAATGTTTTTACTGTTGCAATTTCTAAACAACAGTATGAAGCGGACTCAGAGTGGAAGGTAACCACTCCTACCTGTTGCACAATGGTTGTTAGTTCCAGGCACAGTTGAACAATGTTGTTTTTCAGCAGTGAGTATTCTGTCACGCTGACAAATGGAGACCTGCGACAAAGGAAGGATAGGATTATACAGCATTAAGGATTATGACTGCTGTTTGCAGTATAAGCAGTTGTTAAACAGATTTATGGTTAGTAAATTTGTTTCACAGAGGCAAATATAATCAGGTTGGATAATTGTTCTATAGTTTTTAAAAAAAAGTCCTGAAATAATTAATACAGTTTTCAACAGCACAGTCTTACTGTTTTTTGGAGTCTTCACAGGCATTTAGAAGATATATGAATATAGAGATCAGTTCTACGCCACAGAAATGTGAGTCACTTAATCATGACAACCTCCAGCAGCAATTTACACAACTTTTGTAAAATACACCTTTGAAACAAGAAAGGCAGGAAGGATGTAAATTGGATTTTGGCCAGAACATCAGAAGTTTTCGTTCTTGTAGGAAGTGGAAATAGGAGCTTCCAAACAATTATTAGTCCAGATTTCTTTTGTACGGCTCATTAAAGACAGCATTTGTAGTATGACATCACTCTTCAGCAGCAGTTAGCATGTTAATTCAGAGAGCAACGTAACGCTTACTTAGTCACTAAGAGCTTCCTGCACACTCAAATTTTCTTCAGGCTTTCCAAATTCTAGCTGAATCTAACCCCATTTGAATTTATAAGAACTGACAAGGTCACAGTCCAAGAGAATATGACTGCTGGCATTAGGTTAGGAAGATGTCACCAGGATTATACAAATCCTGTAAAGGAGGGTGATTCACTCTCACTGTGATTTCTAAGGTGCCATTTATACATTCAACAGCATTCAGATTCAAGATAAAGCTATCCCTTGCTGTAATTCCAAAGAACGAGAAACAAAGCATAAATGCTCTGAAGCTATTTTATGTTTTGGTTTCTGTCTTTCCATAGTCAAAATTTTAACATTTTTTCAGAGAGATACTTTTAATCAAATTCTCATTTCATGTTGAGGATTAACCAACACCACACCTGTACTTAATACATCAATCCTACTCTTGATAGAAAAATATAATAAGAAAATTTAATTTTCAGACTAAGCAAGTGCTGCAATTTATTTTGAATATTGTGAATTGATTCGGCCAATGCCAGCTTTTTTGTATCTTTTTGATGGCTGAAGGACAGTTCAAACTCCACAGTCTTTTCTCCCTTCTTTCTGAAATTGCCAATGACATTACCACTTGTGACAGTGAGATGTCAACTTGGAACAGTATAAAAGTATTCATTTCACACAAAATACTATAGACTGAAAGGAATCTGAAAAAATAACTAGGGAAAACTTTAATGCCCTCCTGACAGAAAAGGGTACTACATTTTTGCCTCCAATATTTGAGAAATTTGCACACCAAAATTTAGAGGTAGAATTCCCCAACTGCCATTTTAATATGAGAATAAAAGAGTACAAGAGAAAAAGAAAGAACAAATACAAAACAAACCAAAGAATTATTCTTATGCATAAAAGATCAAGGAATAGTAAATTACCTGTCCAGCCAGGCTAGTAAGTTCTTGGCAGCACCAATCAGGTCAACTACAGAGGTAAGAAAATCATTTGGCAGGCGTCTGGAGGCTCTGCCATCATAATGGCCACTCCTCCTTCTACCCGTTATAAAGTTCTGAAGATTTTTGGCTGAGGCATTCAGCTTGTGAGACAGAGTTCTCAGGTTTTCGGTCTCCAAACCATAATTCTGAGGGGAAAGAAGATACACAATTAAGTGAAATAGCGTGTTTTCAGCTACGTGAACAAAACTGTGAGGTTAAACATTCTGAATGGTGTTGGCTGAAAGGATAGGGTAGTTACGTATGCCTGATGTTAGGCTAAGCAACAGGCTACTTTGTTTAGAACATACAGGGTGCATCCATCCTGTTACCACAACAGCCTGTGCTGTCTCAACGCTCACAGTGCTGGAGTCCCCAAACCCATTGGTGCAACGGAGTCACTGAGGGAAGGCAGAAAGAATCCCCATATGCTGGGTGTCAAGGCCTTTCCCATTTTCAAGAAATGGAGATGAGTCATTCCACTGTGGCGGACTTCTGTGGTTCAGTGTTGGTGTATTTGCTACCTCTGCGAGCAGGTCTTTAGCGGTCCCACTGCACAGGATCTCACTCACTCAGATTTGTTTTAGCCCCTGTACTAACTTGTAATAACTTAGCCTTAGCAGAACTTCCCTTTTATTTATGTTGTGGATAAGGTATAAAATCTTACATGGCCTCAGTGACAGGCTTTTACAGGAAAATACCTTCCTGAACCCTGCTATTGTTGGTGAGCAGCTGTCCCATATGTCATATAACCTGGGAACAGTCAAATCAGGTCAGAGCAAAGATGAAGTTCTCCTGTTCCCAATGACTGCATAGGGAAGAATCTCAGAAAACAGCAGACATGTAATAACAGCTGGCAGTAGTTTAGACACTTCAGCCAGTGATAGTGTCTTCATATTTAACAGTTGTTAATTGATTTTCTTCCACTGTCCTAATTCTGACTGAGGGGCGGGGGGAGAGGGGAGGAGGTGTTGAATCTAAGTAAAGTTTTCTACACACAAGTCCCTTTTCCCTCTTCCCACATTCCTTGATCCATGTCTCTGTCCTTTTATCACCAAGCCAGTTCCCCACTCAGACCCAGGTAATAAGCACAAAGATATCTCAGCTCATATATATTAAATAATTCACTCAAATTCACATAGAAAGTCTCAAACTGACTGCAGATTTCTTGCTGCCACAACAGGATATAGCACATGAAAGAATTTAATGAGCATTTAAACAAAATCAGCTTTCAGAGTATGAACTGATTGCTCTCTATTAATTTCAGCTATGCATATGCTACAGAGGATGACTGATCATGAGTATCACATGTTAATTTTTCTGCCTAAACTCCTTCCTCAAAACAGAGAATAAAGAACCACAAACACTACACAATATATTGACTAATAAAAAGCTTATGAAATGGGATTGTATGGAAGTAAAAAAAAATGCAAACTAATGCTTGGTAAGATTGTTTGGATCACTTATAGCTGGTACTTAGCACTATGACTCCTCTGCCAGCAGCTCTCCCTCTCAACGTTCACTCTGAAAAATAAATCAAGCCCCTTGCCTCCAGCTTGGAGGGCAACCTACAAGGCATGGAAACACTTTGCTATCTTAGCTTACTGCAAAGAACTTATATTTTAAAATAATTTTAAATACTAGGGACAGAATTAGCTCATTGTTATACATATATCGTGCCTAAAGCATCACAATCAGTCAATGAGATTTGGAAGCATCCAGTTTAAGACTGAATAGTGAAGCAAACGAAAGTTACATTGGTTTAGCTACAGATGAGAACAATTCTCTTCATCTTTTTTCCAGAACTAATACTGTACAGTTAGAAACAGCATCACTAAAGTCAGTCATTCTATTTTGGAAAAGTTGAAAGTTAAAAAGCAAGTTGTATTTGATATTAGCATGCCATCTGTTTAGTATTGGCAGCTAATCTTTCTTTTATTAAAGCACTGAAGCAATTGCTTCCCCTGCTCTACTTTTCTTTCAACTTTTACTCGTGCCAAGATGATGACCAAGTGGATATATTGGGATGCCTTTACCAGCCAGCAACCAGCTAGGCAGTGCTTGGTTTCCCCTCAGAAAGAGTTTGATTTTGCACAGTCAACAACACATTATAAGGATGATAAACCAGATCTTCCTGGTTTTATTTCCAAGTCCAACCTTGCTTATCCCTGTGGAAACAAGCAGAAAATGTTTCTCCCAATAAGTCATTATCGCATAAAAGCTCTGGAAACTGTCAGTTTACATTCAAGAAAAGCCAAGCAGGAAAGTAAACAGTTTGACCAGTGAATCTATAAAAGCCAGTACACTTTTACCAGAAAGCAAATGCCTGAATTTTGAAGAAAGTATGCTATATACTAGCAGTGTAATCAACTGGAGTGATCTTGCCCAAGTCATGGGAAAACACACAGATTGAACAGAAAATGTGTATTGAGGAAATACACCTAGTGAGCAAGTTCTTCACTTTATCTTGAAGTTTATTAACATGCCGATGGCAACCTCAATTAACGTCAATATAAAATTTAAAATATAGCAAAGCATAGATAAAATATGTTCATAAAGATAATCAGGAGATGAAAGGAAATTTTTCAGCACAGTAAAAGTGCTGATGCAAGTTAATTGTTTAGCTGAGACTTGGCAAGACCAAGTAAATGGAAAAAGATAAAAATATTACAAAAATGACAGCGAATCAATATCTCTGTAGAAGAGAGACGTTGTATTGCTCTAAATTTAAGCTTGGCTCTAATCCAAGATCTTAATTTTCAAATGAAACAACCATAACCAACTATAAATTGGGAAAAAGACTGGTTAAAAATAACCCTTGAAAGTATCATCTCCGAGCACCTCATCCTAATTTACTGCATGGCAGCTCACCTCATGTCAGCTGCACATATTTCTCTCTCCACTGCAACCTCCCACGCAGTCTGTTTGTGGATGCCACAAAGCCCCATGAGCCCCACTGTGGCAACACATTACAAAGATATTGAAGGAAGCTCTGGACCCTTTCGGGCTTCCCTAGTCAGCAGCCAGGGTGATGGGATTTAAAAGAGATTGTTCCAGAGGAGAAAAGAGCAAACAGGTCTAGCAGAAGGTGTCCTTGCCCATGGCAGAGGGGTTGGAACCAGGTGATCTTTAAGGTCCTTTTCAACCTAAACCATTCTGTGATGATTCTACAGAAGTGGTTTGTTGAGGACTTCTGCCAGCTCCCTCAGTACCCTCAGGTGGATCCCATCCAGCCCCACAGACTTGTGTATGTCTAAGTGCTGTAGCAGGTCCCTCACCATTTCCCCTTGGATTATGGGGGCTTCATTCTGCTCCCCACCCCTGTCTACTAGCTCAGGGGGCTGGGTACTCAGGGAACAACTGGTCCTACTGCTAAAGACTGAGGCAAAGAAGGCATTAAGTATCTCAGTGTCCTGGTTTGAGGTGTCGTGATTGTCATCTGTCCTGCCAGCCGGTGTCTTGATTGTCATCTCGGGAGCTTGATACGGTTTTGTATATATTTCATTATTTTTTATTTTATTTTATTATTAATATTTCATTAAAGTAGTTTAGTTCCTTCTAAACTCGTAAGTCTCTTTTTCCTCCTCTGCCCCTCTCTCTGAAGAGGGGTAGAGGAGAGCATCTGTCGGTCCCATCTGGGGTCCCCCAGGTCCCCAGTAGCCGATTTGGCCTAAATCGCGACACTCAGCTTTTTCCTCCTCCTTTGTCACTGTGTTTCCACCCCCATCTACTAAAGGCTGGAGACCATTCTTCATCCTCCTTTTATTGCTAATGCATTTATAGAAACTTTTTTTTATTGTCCTTAACATCAGAAGCCAGGTTAAGTTCTAGTTGGGCCTTAGCCCTTCTAATTTTCTCCCTACTTAGCCTACGTAGAAGAGTTGCAGTTTACGATAATGAGTAGGTGGGTAGCCTTGTTCTGAATACATGACACTGCAAGTATCCAGACCTCTTCAGATTCCTGTAGGTATCTCATCTGCATGATGTTAACTGAGATAATCTCAAACCTGCCAGACTAAATCATTATCACAGCTATCTTATCAGAGTTCAGTTTGCATAGCCATATATGCTGCTCTCACTGTGTTAAATATGTGCTGTTATTGTCAGACGCACCATAGAAATGATGCTCCTGAGCATGTAAAATTCTATCTCCTGGCAGGTGATTTCTTTCTTGCACAGTAAATCCTAGATATAATTTCTCATTTAAAAAGAAAGGGAGGGAGAAAAAGCCTCTAAAAGGGACAAGAGGGTGCCATTAACATAGGCAGGATTATTTTTCATACCAAGAGTAGGGGAAAAGACCCAAGCAAGGTTTGTTCCATTCCCTGGTTTTGTTCCATGATGCTTAAGGTTGTCGCATAGTAATTTTTATCAAATTACTCTATTAGTGGAAACATGCAGGTTGAGAAAATGAATAATATTAAAGTAACCCCAAATGCTGTCTAGAAGAACTACAGAGCCATACAGTATGTCAAACTATTATGAAATCTGGATCATGAAACTGCACAGTGAGAATAGAAAGTGGACTAAAGCTGACTACGCTCCATTTCAGTAAAACGGGCCTGACAGGTATATTGCAGAAAGGGTAACTGCTGGAAGGAAATGCCAAAGTAACAGCAAATCTTGAATGCAGCAAGATGTGACTGGTAAAACTATTAAATATTTACTTAAGCTTCTTCACATAAAACCACTGTTCAAACAGTTAGAAATTCTGTATATCCACTGAGTGTAATACACAACAGCATTACCACCTTCACAAAAGAGTTACATGGAGATTATCTGAGTTGTACAGTGACAGACTGATTCAGTGGAATACTTTAGGTTGGAGCTCAGCAGTTCCTGATGCCCTGTTCAACGACAGGAGTTGGAAAGAAGGATTTCAAAAGGCAGAAATTAAACACAAATGTGAGATCAGAGCCAGACAAGCTTATTATAGAAGAATATCATTAGCAGCAATACCAAGATGAAGCTGTGCTTAGTGTCTCTTGTTAGTGGGATGTACAACTGACAGGTTTAAGGAAAAATCTGCTTGCTGTCTGTAAAACACAGTTTTCAATTTTAGCAATTTCATTCTCTAATTGTCTGATTTTCAAACTACCAGTGAGGATTCCTGCCATCTTCGCCTCTCCTGTTCAGTTTGAGCTGCCTG